TGATCTGGTCCTGAAAGGACAGCTCTGCGTCCACTGGATTGCTTCGAGCGAGAATACTGCTGACATCTTCACCAAGGGCCTCGATGAGGCGCAGCACGCTCACCTGAGGATGAAGCTCCTCAACAATCCTGTGTTCGACGACGAAGGGACACCGATGGTGCCCGACGAGCCACACGAGAAGGTGCTGATGGCGCCTGATCGGTCACACAGCGCAAACACAGACTCACACGCCTCTGAATGCGCCCTGTGCTGCTTTCTGCGTTATGGTTCTGTCTGCTGAATGCGGTTACCTGTTTGAGAGGGGGTGATCGCTGTAATGCGATGCAGAAGGACAGCACAGTGCGAGAGGGGGTGTCAGAGGCTGCGTGTGTTGGGGTAGATCCCGCCGTGTAATGCCACTGCATGCTGAGAACCCTGAGCACTCCGAACTGTCCCTCCTTCTCGTGAACCGTCCCTCTGGCTCATCTGTTGCCTTAACGGGCAACGACACGATCCTCCACAGCCACTCTCATCTACCGACAGGAGAGGGGATGGCGGAGGCGCCTGAGGACAGGCGCAAGGGGTGGGCGCTGCTCGCGGCAATATCAGAATGCGTCAAGTAAGAAAGATCACTCATTCATCTCGCCAGACGACCCGACGCAAACCGCCCCCCTCTCTTTCCGCAGATCCAAAGACGTCGACAAGCTCGAGCAGCTGCTGAATGACAACAGAAAGGTAACCAACCCGACAAATAGTGCCAAAATTCGGCGGCTTGTTGTTGCGTGACGCAGCTCATCGGGCGGTTGGAGGCCTTCCTGAGGACGGACGACGACGAGAGGTCAGCGAGAATGCGGCGCTTGGCTGCACAATCCCTCATGTGCGTTGCTGTGTGTTGCCGCCTCTGTGCAGCCGCCAGGAGGAGACGAACACGGAGGACACGAATGAAGACCCACCACCTTCGGAGGAGGAGCCGCCACTACCACCAGCAGCAGTGCAACCTGCCGTCGACACATCCACGGAAGCATCCGAGAGCGGCAGCAGTGAAGAGCAGCAGCAGCAACAACAGCATCAGGACCAGGCAGCAGAACCAGGGCCAGCTCTTACTACCATCGCACAGAAGCGAAGTCGGGAGGTTACTGATGTCGATGCTGCCCGCCCTGCCAGCCTGGAAGCTGGTAAGCACCACGGCAGCAGGCATAGACGCCTGCCACACACAAGTCTGACTCTCTCATGAAGTCACTTTGTCCATTGCCGCAGACCGACGAACGGTCGAACAAGCGCCGACTCGGTCGTCCGCCTCCATAGGTGTGTGCGTATGCCCGTTGACGCCACAAAGCTGACGGGATTCTCAAAACTGCTGGGCTGTGTGTGTTGTGTATGTGTGTGGCTTGGCTTCAGATCTGCAGAGGGGTGGGTCTTCTTGAGTCGTCCCTAAGATGCTCAGAGGAGGTAAGAGGGAGATGGTTGGATGTGTGTGGGTGAGGGATGTCAGACAGCAGCGTTTGTGGTGTGGACGCGATGATGACAACACTAGCACAACCACCATTGTGTCGGCTGAGCCTCTCCGAGGGGGCGTGCTGATCCATCTCATGCATCACCAACTGACCCACACACACAGACCGACCGACCGACCGACCGACAGACAGCCGGACGTTCTGAGCACTAGGCACACACAACAGATGCACTGTACTCTTTCTCTGTTTCTGTGTGTGTCTTTCTGTTTCTGTTTGTCAGGTCTGACGAGGTGTGTGAAGGGCCGGCAGCGTGCAAGACTTCCACAACACTCACTATGCCGCCTCCCGTCACCTTCCCCCTCTCGGCCCTCCCCCTCAACGCCACCAGCAGCTCCAAAGGCCAGACGGCTCAGCCTCGAGCAGCGGGGGTGCGTCCACACCAACACGGACCTCTTCAGACGGGCTTTCAATGGCGTGCCATTCATCCCCAGCGACATACAGCATCGCCATCGACTCGCGAGTGCTGGAACGTGGGCGGCTTGACTAAGGTGTGGTCGCGTAGTGGTGGTCGGGGTGCGTGTGAGGCGACACAGCGGGCGATGTGTGAGAGGGCAAGGCCTGTCCGAGAGCGGCCACAAGGGCATTGTGGACAGGTGCCGACAGATGCAATATGGCAGGGGAGGGGAGGGGAGGGGAGGGGTGGGCCGGGTTGGATTCAGCTCCCCATTTGACCAGATGGGAAGCCATACCGTAGCTGGTCGATATGTTGTCGATATAGACGGAGAGTGTCAGCTGCATGTGAGGGGATGGACGCGATGGAAATGAGTGGGCTGTCATCTGCACTAAAGGCGGTGCCATCATCAGGGCACAACCAAAAGGCGCTCCCGGCCATTTGGCGGGGATCTGCAAGCCTGATCCCAGCCGCCACCGATATCAAAATACATGCAACTGCTCTTCCAGGCTGCTGGAGAGCTTCTGTGTCCCATAAGTGTCTATCTGGTTCCATCAGCAGTGCGAACCAGTACCGAAAGCCTTCTCATGCGTTGTCTCGCTCTCTGTCCGCACCAAGGCGCTCGCGGCGTCATCACGGCGTCGTTTTCAGCCCTCCCAGGGGCAAGGCAGCCGGAACCTGCCACCCATAGCAAGATGGAGGAGCTCGAGACCTTCATCTATGGTGAGACCACATACCGGCTTGCATTCAGCGGTGCACTGCAATGGTGTGACGTGTCGTGAGGCTCTGTTGGGCTGTTCTGACGCATGCATGGCCATCTGTGAGATCAGATAGATGCGCATTTCAATGGGCCCCAAAGCTTTGGCTGTGTCATCTCTGTGTCTGTGGTGCAGGTGCAATAGTCAGCTTTGTGG